AAATGAGCAGCTCTGGCAGGGGGATGGAGGGAGAACCAGAACTTTCCCATTGCCTGCCCCCTTTCCTTGCCACAGTGAGGCTCCCTGCTCTTGGGGCCTTTCACTGCTGCGAGGAAAGGCTGTGGGAGGAGAGGTGGACAGTGGGGAAAAGAGGGAGCTGCTGGAGTTCATTCACTGCTGTATGTAGCTACACACGTATGTAGACAGACACAGGAGACTGACAGTCAGGGCCTGAATACAAAGAGGGGATTTCCTCCAGACATCTGGTAGATGAAATGATAAATCAAACTGCTGTTTATTCATTGTAAGCTCCTGCTGAGGCAGTCACTCCATACTGATCCTGCCTGCAAATGATTTTAGGGCAGTGTTTTGCAAATTATTTTGTACTGAGTTACTGTTTTTGGTTGTGCCCCATCCATAACCCAGGCAAAAGTAAAGAGCCAACAGATGGATTTGGTGTTTCTTCCCTGAGCCACACCATGCAGGGCTGCCCACAGCCACCTGTCATCACTGCTCACACACATATACCCCAGAACTTTCCTCCAAGCCATCCTAAAAGGGACGCACCCCACAGTTTGAAGATCTCTTATCAAAGCTGTTCCCTATTTTGGCACTTCAAGTCCAGAAAGTGGGGGACTGCAAGAAACCTTAAAATACCCTGCTTCTAAAAGCTTCTGCTTAAATTCCCCCAGGTTACAGATTCCCTGACCTTGGGTGCTACACTGCCATCACCCAAATGCAAAAGCCACTTAGGAGCCCAAGAGGACACACTTGGAAATTTTTTCCTGTGGGGTAACCCCAAGCTCTTTAATCCTTCCTCAGAAGAAAGCTTGAAAGCAAACTAATTTCTTGATAGCTGACCTTTAGCCTTAGACATGTGCACCCAGAACCTCCTGTCTTCTAGGACACAGGAATCAGATCATGGTCTTAGAAATGTGATTTTTTTATTAACAAAACAAAGAGGATATATTTGGTAAAGCAAACTTGGCTGCTAGGTGTTCTAGAGCAACTGAATAAATGCAGATTAAAAATACAGAGAACTGCTTCTCTCTGATTCAGTTTAAAAGTTACTGGTACCTGGGTTCAGCACAAAGTTCACAAACCAGAAAATAACCAGTAAATCACGTCTAACTAAATATTCTCTGTTTTACTTACAACTCTGTTGTTTAGGCTTTTTTCTTAGACATGGATATTGCTGGAAAATCCATGCCTTATTTGTGGCTCAGTTCATTTCTCTCCCAGCTCTTGCTCTGATGAACTCACACAAAGAACTGAAGCAGGGAGAACCTGTTTTTCTATTCAACTCTCTCACTCTCTTCCCATTGGCTCTCTGCCAACACTTCCTGGATACTCTCTATTTCTGGGTTTAACCCTTTACAGGCAATGTAATTATCTGCATGACTGGGATGACTAGAAAAGGTCAGGACCCTTTGGCTATGTGGATCCCATAATCCACTCTCCATCCCTGCTCCTTTGACATTCTTAACTTTGGGCATCTGAATTACTGAGGGAACAGAGAGTTGATTGGATCCACATAGCCTATTATATGCTAGCTGGGGATGGTGGGAGGGAGGGACGAGGAAGTTCAGGTTGCAGGTATAGCCCCCAAACAGACACTACTTGCTAGAAAATTCTAATCTTGTGTACATAGGGCACATGCACACCAACAGTGAGATCCATACAGACATCACATCTTGCAGAACTACATCTGCTATAAGGTAAGCAGCAATTATTTTCTGCCCCATTTAGCTTACAAGCTAAGAACCTGATCCAGTTAATTCTGAAGTCAATGGAAAAAACTCTCATTCGTGACTGGGAATTAGATCAGGCCCGAAACTGACAAGACAGATAAAAAGGGAAGAAAGCATGCATTGTTACCTATTGTACTGAAAGGACTGGAGACACAGAGCTATTAAGTGACTTGCCTGAAGTCACGTCTACATTAGTGGAGAAAATTGATGCAAGATATACAACTCCAGCTATGTGAATTATATAGCTGGAGTTAATGTACTTTGCATTAATTTTTTTGGGGGGGGGAAGTCCCACAGTGGGAGGTCAATGGGAGAAACTCTCCTGTCAACTCTCACAGCTGCAAGGCGCTCCGGGGGCAACCGCAGCGTGTCCTTACTAGACCCATTAAATTGAATGCTGGAAGATCAACCTCTGGTGCATTGGTCTTCCTGCAACTGTAGATGTGGCTAAAGATAATACATGAGCTTTGTGGCACATCCAGGACTTAAACCCAGATCTTAGTCTATGTAGTGCTTTAACCATAAGAACATCAAATGAAAACTGAAGTGATTAAAATCCTAACTCGAGTCAGCATCATTGTACTAAGATCTCAGATAAGCATGAATAAAGCCAGCTCATTTCACACTTTGCAGTCAGCCAGTACTTTGTGGACTTCTGCATCTTAAAGCACTGGGGAAAGGAAATGAGGAAAGGGTTCAGTCAGTTAGTACGCTGTCATCATACTAGACAGTGGAATGAAGAGACATCCTGTTGCTGCCCGATGAAGCCTTCAGTCTTTGTGAAAAAACATGGATTATTATTTGTGTTATATCTACCTACAAACCCAAACAATATCCAAAATCAAACAATATCCAAAATCAAACTCTCTCCCACCATTCTTGAAACACATGCCACCTAAATCTTCCTCTAGCATCTTTGCATCACCTGTGCACTTTGTAGTTGAAAGCTCAGTACATAAGAATACATGCATTCTGCACAAGTCATATTGAAATTTAGTGGTTCCAAGCATAAAATGGTTAATTTACCAAGTAACAAATACATTCTTTAGCGATCTGAACAGAAAATTAATTGCCATTTGCTCATGCTGATCTTTTGTTTAATATGTCATTTACTGTTTCGTGCATAATAATCATTTGGAGAATAGTTTAAATATTCTCTCTCAGAAAATATGAGATGCCAATCAAGCAAGCGCACCAGCATATAGAGTTGAAATCAGTTAAAAAATCCAATACCGTGTATATGATGCCTGCCATTTTCTGTTTTCATTTAGGAAAGAAATATTCTAAAGGCAGACAATGAAGCTTTAAAGATTCAGCTTAAACAGGCACACAGAACAATTGAATCTCTCAGTATTCAACGCAGAAATCATGTATTGGACAATATACAACACAGAGACTGCACGTAGCTGACAAGAGCTCTCTTTTGGATGAATGTAAAAGGGGGCTTTTTGAATTGTGACAAGGCTGCTGTATTCAAGCGAACAGGAAAGACTTGAATGATTTTAAACAGAGAAATATTCTGTTCCATCAGCATATTTTGCCTGTTCAATATACTGCTGAATGTATAAATGTGTTTCTTTCTCCTATAGTTTACAATAATTTATCTTCTGGACATGGGAATTCATGCATTCTGGAATCTCTCTCAAGAACGGTGATAGGCCCAGAAGTTATTTATTTATCTATCATCAGTAAGCAATTTTGTATCCAATGTGGATGATGCATGTGACTCTACAAGTAGCCACTGTTTCTATCAAGTCCCCAGTTAACATCTACATGGGTTCCAACCAGGTATGTAATTTAAATGGAAACTTTCCATTCAAATTTGGCCAAGATTCAGGTTTTCTAACAACAAACATTTCATAAATGTAAGACATTTGAATAACTTTTGATAAGATCATACACGTTTCATAGACCTAATCATTGCTGCATTAAGAACTGGAAAGTAAAACTGAATTAATTGATTTTCATCCTCCAACATTAGTTTCACTGCTTTTTGATGTTTAGTATTTCTAATGACAATTTTAAGTCTCTCCTTTTAAATGATCTAGGATGTAGTATGTAATTTTTTTTTTTAAACAACTTAGGGGTAAAATGTGTCCCTTTAAAATCTTTGCCTTCTGAGCTGGTCTTAGAGGTTGTAGCTATCCAAACTTTAACCCTGCAAAACTAAAAACTATAGTGCCTCATACAGAGCAGGGGCCTAGAGATTTCACACTGGAGTGTTGCTTCCACTTTACTGTTTCATGCCACCCCTCAGGTCACAGTCTTAATACTGACCCTGCTAGCTTAGCGGATCATAGATGAAGACAGATTTTGTCAGAGGGAAAGATTTTGGCTATTTTCTTTAACTTTTTTCTAACTTTCAGTCTTTGATTCATAAGAGTGCAATATAGTCTTACATTTATATTCATATTTTATGATTAAATCATGAAAATTAAGGAAGGAGAATTTTCACTCTAATGGGGTACATGACCAGCTCCATTTCCTGGGTATTTGTTGCCTACCCAAATCAGGCTAAGATACCCTCAGTTGTGCAACACCCATGTCTTTATTCACCTTAGCTTGATACCAACACCCATGCCAAACTACAGTCTTTACAGGGTTTTCTCCTCTTACAGGCAGGAAGTCTTCAGTTTGGAGGCCCTCAGCTCCCTGACTGGCCTCTCCTTCCCAGCCCACATATACCTTGGCTCATCAGGCTGGCATGTGTTGCCAATCTATAGGCCAGCATCAGGCCTTTTCTTCAGCCCCAATCTGTGCCTCTTGATTGGGGCTGACAGGCAAAAGCTTATTAGGTGCTCCTGCTATATGCTCTATGATAGCATTTAACTGTTCTGGCATCCAACTATGGACCCTCTTGAAGTGGGGAAGTACATCTTCTCTCCATTGACAGCCTTCCTCTACAGGTTACATTATTGTTATTTATTATTTCTGGCACATCTAAGGGTTCCCATCAGGGACCAAGGCTCTACTGCTCTAAGTGCTGTACACGTGCCATTGAAGGCACACCTTGCCCAAGAGCTCACAATCTAGGTTTCATCTGCATAAAAAGCAAAACAGATGTTTGAGGTGATTATTACATGGTTGACAGCACTTCCGAAAAAATTAACCATGGAGCAAGTCTGGGGAAGTTCAATGTACATTATAGGGAATTTCAGCTTATGTTGTTGTATGTAGCTTAGTTCACTAGAGGTTCAGCTAAGCAACCAGAATCCATGGCAAACCCATCCCTCCCCAGAGAATCTCTCCTTCCTGCTCCTTACCTGCAGTTGTCTTCTTGGGAGGAGGGCCAAAGGCCTGCATTTCTCCTCATGGTTCAACAAGCAGCAGCAGGATATTTTTCTTTCCATTGTGCAGACACACCAGGTGCTTAAAGAACTTCTCTCATTCTCTCCCCATGGGCAGATAAGGATGGAGCAGATGCATCTACTACACACTACCAGAGAGCTTCTAAGCCTTCATCTTTTTGTCTCTTGTGGAAGCTGGGGAGATTGGGGGGTTTTCTGAATCCCTCAGGCTGTGTCAACACAGCAGGATGGTTTCAGAATAACTGATGTTCTGAAATAACAGAGTCTGCATCTACACACAAGCAGTTATTTCAACAAACTCCTATAACCCTCATTGTACGAGGAGTAAGGGAAGTCCAGGGAAGAGTGCGCTCTCAACATAACTGCTGTGCAGACAGCGCCAAAATTCAAAATAAACTATTTCCACTTTAGCTACGCAATTAGTGTAGCTCGAGTTGCGTAGCATATTTTGAGTTTAGCCCTGCTGTGTAGACATGCCCTCAGTGTCCTGCTTTCCTGTCTCCATTCTGTATTGAATCCATGTACTCTTTCCTGTCTCAGGTCCTTGAGCAATTACTACCCTCCTCCAGTCATGCCCTGCCAAAAATTGTTTCTGCCCCCTTTCCCTCTCCCTCCCTTACATTTGTGTTAATTTGGTGCAATAAACAGCCACTTTCTAGGCAGCCTCAGCAGCAAGAGATTCTGTGCTGCAAAGTTTCCTGCTCAGCTTTTAGGATGCTGCTATGGTGTGCAGGAGGACAGCTTTCTCTCTCTCTGGTCTTAGGTTACTGGCTGGAACATCACCTTGCCCAGGATATTTGTGAAGTCCTTCAATTGCTTTGTCTAAACATTGCCAATTCATTGCCACTGTGGGTCAGATTTGACCCAGTCTGTTCATTTATGCATGTGGAACCCATATTGGAGCGCCACCAAGCTCTCACTGAAATCAACAGCATAACCTTAATTGGCTTGCTTAACTGGAGGGAAAAAAAGCACAAGCCCTAATCAGATCAGGTCATGTTACTGCATTTCTGATTTTCGCACAGGTGTGAAAATGCTTCCCATTGTTTCTGAAAGTCGATTCTTGTCTGTAGTTCGAGCATTCTTTCATGTTTGTGACACTGTAACAGTGCAAGAAACACACTTCATGGGAGAGAATGCCACAGCCTGTGCCCTTTTTTAGACCAAAAAGCCTGAGGTTTCAGACACTCTTCTTTTTCACTACCTCTCTTTGAGGTTGAAGATTGCTGTGCCTCCCTAGGGTGAGCTGACTAGAGTTCCCAAACAGTCTAGCTTTCAAAATCCTGATGCTCATTTACAGCAAAGTCCCTTTACACTGCTTTACCCACTTAAAAGGAGCCTTAATGTAAACAGTTTCAGTGGGTATATGTTTAATTAAGAATAGAGAGAAAGATTAAAAGGGACTGCATACTGTATTTCATCTCAGAATTTAGCTAGACAGGTTGTTCTTATGACATACTCTTAGAAATATGAGGTTTACTTGCTGTAGGCTTGTCTTTACGGGAAATTTAATTCAGATTAAGGTAAAGTGTCTGCTTAAAGAAGAATAGCTATTTTTAATTAACTGCCTTAACCCATTTCAGATTAAGCTAATTTGGAATAAAGCACACATTTTTAAATGTAAACCTAACCTTAATCTGAATTACCTGTGTAGACAAGATCATAGAACAAAAATATCATTTTTAAGGTTTTTTTTTTGGTATGGTTTTTAAATCTTGACCCTTTTTACCTTCCAGCATCCTCAGCCCCCAGACCAAGTATTCCTTTAGCTCCCACAGTCTCTTAATCTGTAGCCAATTTGACCTTGAGGTGTGACAAAACCATTACATTCACTAGGGCAGAGGTGACATCAATCATATCAGTATTATTATTATTGCAGGAGCACCTAGGAGCCAGTCATAGAACATAACTCTGTTGTGCTAGATGCTGTACAAAATTTGTATTGTTTGTATTGAGGGGGGGGGGGGGGGGGAAAGACAGCAATAACATCCATACAATAGCTACTGTCTTTTATAACTTCTAGCGTCCTCTCCTTTAATCTCAGTATTTTCCTCAAAATTTAGCCGTTCAAATGCCGCTTTGATCAACTGAAAGTCAAGAGGACTAGTTCCTGTATTTGCAAGTTATTTTTTCCTGACTGAAGGAGTTAGAATGAGTTTAACTCTGTCTGCTTTTAAATCAAGAAAGTGTAAATGCTGTTAACAGGCAACTGAGCAGTCTTTCATGTTATTGACAGATTAACATCCATCTGGCCAGGATTAAAACTCTGTGTTTCAAGACTGAAAGATTAATTAGACTTTCAGTTATGGAATCTCTAGTGTTGGTTAAACCAAGCAGAGATACAAGCTAAGGTGATCTGTAGGTTCAGTGCTATCTTATTGACTGTAAATACATGTACAGTAAGTAAAAAAGGTAAAATATTCATGTGACTTTTTAGAATCAGTCGCTGTGAGCTCTGTGCAGCTTCTGTTTCTCATACACTAAAATTGAACGATCTAGAAAAACTGCTGATTACCTTGAATACAGATGTGCAATTTATCAAAAACTGATCTTAGACCTTGCTTTGTCTTATTTCTTTATAAAATGAATTTAGGCAAGGGAAATGCTCTACAAGTTTAAGATGACTTTCATTTAAGATTAGTGGATACTAAAATAAAAAAAGTCCTTATACCCCTAGATATTGAAAGAATCAACTATGTTGTTGCATCCATTGTCACATATTTGGAGATTATCCAACAAATTAAATAAAACCTGCTGAATCTGGTTGTTTGTTAAAATAAACCAGTCATCTAATTTTAGGACTAAATTCTGGATTCCGATAAACTGTTTTGCTAGAATGTGAAGAAAAATATGTTGTTTTAAAATTAAACTGTTCTCTGAAGTTATATGAATCTAACCACAAAGTCATTGTGCTAGAGCAAGAGAACCACAAAGTAAAAGACAAAACAAAAGTGAAACTGACCATCTTAACCAGTTCTTGCAAATTAAATGTTATAGCAACTTTTACAGCAAAAATATAATTCATTCTTAAACTTTATGCCTTTAAGTTGTCCCAAGCGCAAAGCAGGTAGAATTTTTTAAAAAAATTAATCCACATAATCTCTTTAAATTATAATTTGGCAGATATCCAAATGGATTTTCATACACAAGTGGGCTTTATCCAGGCTCAGTATGATAAACGAACCTAAGCGAAGGTGATTACAGATTAAAAACTAATTAAATCTCTCCTGTTTAAGGACTAGCTAGACTCCTCCCCCCTTTTCTGCATCAGCAAAAATATTCAGCAGAATTTCATATTCAAATCCAATCAGCCAGCTGCCATTTTGGCTTTTCTCTCCATTTGCCTTGTCAGCAGTTTCAAACTACAGTAGCTATCTCAGCAAACATACAAAAAAAAAAAAAGATGGAGGTGAAAGTCAGGAGTACAGAATTAGATATCGGCCCTACCTTCCCCTGAGCATGCTGTGATTGTACAAAGATTATCTGAATATGAGATCCATTTACAAGAGACTACATAGGATAGGTGTTTGTTTCACACATTCATAGTACTCAACCAAAAGAGGCAGCTGAAATCTGGAAATGTCAGGGTATTAATGGGTACAGGTTGAACCTCTTTAGTTAGGCACTCTCTAGTCTGGCAACATCCATGGTCCCATAAAGTTTGTTTACAGCCACAGTCCTGCTCTCAGTGTTCTTGCTGTTCTTTGGCTCTAATTTACCCCTAAATGTAGTAAGCAGTGGAAGTGCTGGTAATGTTGCTAGACAATATTGACCTCCTGTGATTAGGCAAATTCTTTGGTTCAATACAGGTTAGGTCCGAAGAGTGCTGGACTAGAGAGGTTGAACTCGTAGTTTCAGGTACATCTGCCTATTAAGTCCCTGTGAATGTTTGCAATTTTATATTAAATCTTTGTATTTTTATATTCTTTCTTGCTCTGTGAAAGAACCTGACTATACTGGGAGGAAAAATGAAATTATCTCCACAAAAGTGAAAAGCAGAAAGATTCTGAAAAAAAAACCCCAACTTTACAGAAATATTTTTCATTTCTAATCCTCATAAGGCCTTGTTTGGAGTAGGGACAATGGTGAGTTTTTAGAAATATGTTAGCTGACTCATTACAACTAAATGTTGTTTCAAAACATTAGAAACTAGAAAAGTTTTAATTCCTTTAAAATTATGTTAATTGTCAGCTTACCCAGTTTAAAAAAGAACACTCACTTTTTCTCTCTAATCTACCTACGGCCTTAAGATAAAAAAAAAGAAATCACATCAGAAAATAATATACACAGACACACACACATTTTTTAAGTGGATAGTGTCCCTTCAAAGGAAATATTGCTTTTCCTTTGGTTTCTATTCTAATTTTTTGGAGTATTGATTGTTCTTGGTACTGGTATTGACTAAATTAATACTTATTTACTTGTTTGCATAATGGAGGAGTCAAATGTAATTATGGAAAATAACTTACATGTATATATTGGAAGTAGCAAAACTGCTGTCTTAGGAATTATGTATGTTGCAATAGTAGCAATCTGCATTAATGTTTCAGTAAATTTGACTGACATTTATATTGGTGGTAATTAGTAAAATGCTGTCTAATTATATATGTATGTATGTTAAAGTGACTGACTGAAAAAAGTGTACAGATTGTAAATATTTTGTATATAAAGTTGTGTAATATTTATATTATAAAAGTCACTAGAACAACAAAATTATTTGCCTGTTGCATTTTTTTTAATCCCATAAGCATCCAAAATATTTTTAACAGACTTGCATGATACCTAAATATATATCCAACAAGATTTCTACTCTGGAATCAGCATCGCTGAATGATAGAAGTAGGGATGTAAGCAACTACTTGAGTAATCAACTATCCAATAACCTAGACATCAGCCCTGTATCAGAAGTGGGAGTGGGGGGAAGGTGAGAGCAGGAGCCAGTGCTGGGGAGAGCTGGCTTAAAAGCTGGTTCTCCCCAGCACCATCTGCACAGTGCGGGGGGACAGGCAGGGCAGAAGTGCAGAAGTCCAAGACCCGCCCCCCCTGCAGCTTTGCCTTTTAATTATTAGGAGCCAGATGGCTCTTACTATACATTTAAAAGGCAGAGGTGCAGCAGTCCACTCATTCCCAGCTCACACCAGCCCAGGAGCTACTAATTATTACTGACTAATCATGTAGTTGATACAAATTGTATTGACTACACCAGTGTTTCCCAATTGGTGCTCCATGGAACCCTGGGGTTCCGTGAAGCAAAAGCAAGGATTCTGCAAAGAGCCAGCACTCCTCCACCCGCTCTTACAGAGAGAGCCGTGGCAGGGGCTTTTTTTGGGGGGGGGGGCTTGCCAAAATGCTGCGGGGGCCTTTGTTTATTAAGGCAACCCTAGGGGTTTCCATGGCCCCAAAAAATTGAGAAACACTGGACTACACGATTAGCCAAATACTCGCTCCTTAACATCCTTAGACAGGAGATCATTCATTAAAGCACAGAAACATTGTATGATAGTTGATATAAACCACACTGTGTAAAATGACACAAACTTTAAATACAATACTTTATTTTTCAATGTTCACAGCTATTAAAGTGTTTTCTTAAGTCCTGAAATTCATTTCTTCATTTTCAAACTGCCTGCCCCCACATTTTGGATGAATTATCACTAACTGGGAAAAAAAAAAACATTTTAAAAACCCACACATGTTCACAAACATGTACAAAAAAAAATTCTGTATTACTCTTCCAAAACACAAGCTATATTTACTCAACCAAAATCTTAAATTTATTGTTCAGGACAAAAACATACAAACAGATTCTGAGAATAGATTTAAATAAAAAAAATTCTAGATGAATTTATTGCATCTTTTGAAGGTTAAACATATGAGAACAGGGGAGAAAATGTTATCTCTGAAGTGTATGTACTTATTCAATTTACTGTAACTTTTAGATTTTGGAAGATTAAAAGAAAATTTCCATGTGCAGTTTAAAAAACAAATGTATTTCACTTATTTTAGGGCTGGTCTATTTGCTGAAGTTGCAATGATATAAAACAAGCTGTGATGTAGCACCGATTTAGCTATATTGGTACAACTGTGGTGGTCACGCTTATGTGGGTTTAAACTTGATTTGTGTCTGTTTAGCTTCTCCCCATCAATCCTGTCACAGGCAAGCTGAACTAGTTTAAAACCAATGTAAGACCAGCCACCCACAAAGCTGTGCCTGTTTAAAGGTAAAATGTCATACTGATTTTTAGTTAAATTGCTGCAATAGTGTATAAACAAACGCTTAGATTTTACTAGTCCCAGCCTCTACTTCTTGATGCTATTCAGATATCACTTGCAGCAGAAGTAATCAAAACACAACTGTGGGGCAAACAGGCAGAAGAATTTCAACTTACTTCCGGACTTCGTGTGTGAGGGGGCAACTGTTCACTTTCCCTCCTGGTGGTTCTTCTGAAGAGCTAGCTTGGAGACAGCAGACTGCTGTACTGAATTTTTGTCTCCACCTCCACCAAAGTATCTGACAGGGCAAAGCTAGATTAAGCATACCTGCAAATACTGCTTGCCACACTCTGTACCTGTACTCTGTACCTCCTTAAGGCAGCAGAAGGTTGTCAGTGGCTCCCCTCTTACACAAGAGGGAAAAGAAGAGCTGGTGGTGAGGTTGTGTAGTATCAACAGCAGAGTGAAACGTGCAATCGGCCATGAGCAGCTGATGGGAAATCACTTTGCTAATTCTATGAAAAGCTTCAGAGAAATAGTGCCTTTTGGTCACATGATCCCACTACTGTAGGATTCAAGGGTTCTCTGTTTACACCAAACTGACCTCAAAGTGGAAGGCAAAGGCACCTATAGTTTATCTTCAACACTGCCAGGTATCTAGTACTGTTTAGATCACTTCTGCCAGAGAGGTCATAAATATTGCTCTTAGGAGAAGAAGTCAAAACTGGGAGGTGGGATAACTATATTCAAGCAAAAGGAAAAGTTGAAATAAATTTAAAAAACAAATATCATAACTAATCTTACACAAAGGTATTTGAGGCAGAAAGAATAATTTTTTAATGCTGAATATAGCCTTTGGAAATATTTTGGTC